CCCCTGTCTGCTGGCTCTCTGGTGCTGCACATTACCTGACATTTCCTCCCTGTCTCTCTACCCTGCTTCTCTTTGCCTTCATCCCTATGCTGAATTTTCCCAGCCCTGCTTCCTTCCTGAAACATACACAGGGGCAGAGACAACAATCAAGACTGGTCTCAATCTTTCTATTTCTGTGTCATTTTATAGTTTCCAAACCCTTTCACTTTCATTTATTTTTTGACCTTATCAGAAACCTCAGAAAGCCAGGGTTGACCTCACTTCACAAATATTTAGGAAAAGTGTCCCAAAGAGTTCAGTGACTGACCAGCAGAGCTAGGTGGCCCTTGGCTCTGGGTCTCCCTCCAGCATGCCTTTCGGTTATGCAGAGTTCTGACCCAAAGCCAGTTTTCTCTGTCAAGCCCTAAACCAGGCAGTAGACCCAGTCTCATCCTTGTAAGGTCAGGACAGTGGATTCTATGAGCTCTCCTTGCTCTAGGTCGGAACACACTGTTCCCAGCTTAACTAGTTCTATGGTGACAAGAGCACAGCTGAGCCCCTTGCTTACCCTAAATGGATTCTTAGCCCAGTGAAGTTATATAAAGGTTTCTGGAATTCTCAGAGGAAGACCAATAAACAAGCAGTAGAACTGGGAAGGAGTAAGGAATGACCCAGTGCAGCTTCTAATTGCATTAATGAGCAAAGTGAGGCCTAGTGAATAAGGTACATAGATGAGGTCCCAAGACCTGTTGGTTAGTAGCCAAAGGGGGTCCAAACCCCAAGTTGCCTGGCTCCTTGTCTAAAGCTCTTTCACCTTAGGCCAAGCCTGCCTCTTGGATTTCTAATCCTCTTTAAAGATCTAGGATTTTCAGCTGTTTTTTTTAAGAAGGGAAAAACAAAAAAGCAAGGATGTGTACACCCAAATGTGGAAAACAAATGTGGCTCCTCTTTCTCTGTTGCTAGATCCTATATTTCTTTTCCATTATGCTCAATGCAAAGATTAGGAAATGTCAACACGGAAGAAAATATTTTATACATAAAGAATTATTCCTTTGAATATACTGTGACATCTTTCTTGAAACATATGTAAGGCCTGATGCCAAAACAATTGAGATTTCCTTTCTCAAACAAGACCAAATGTCTGAAAGAGCAGAAGAAATGCCATATGCAGAAGGTTTGGAAGTCTTCCTTTGGAATTTTCTTGAGAATCCATAGCGCAGTCTTTTGTGTGTCTTGGTGCAATGATCCTCCCTCTAGGTGAGATTGGACCCTCAGCATCTGCTCTAGCAAAAGCCACTATCCTTCTTCACCTTTCCACTGCAGAGACTCACAAAATGTTGACTGCTTATGTGGACCTGAGTCTTCTTCCACCCGTGACAAAGTCAATAGATCTTATAAAACTCACTGCAAATCAGTCTCCTTCCAAGACCAGATGAACAGTTCCAGGGAGATTTCATGGGAGGTTTCACCTTCTCTCCTACCTCCCAATGTTCTGGTCTGGTTACTGATGGCAGAGATTTCTTTTTCAAATGGTTACATATAGAAGGGGAAGTGTGAGGTTTCATAGGGAGAATGATTACCAAATGGGAAACCTTTCATGCTGAAATAAGAGATTTTTTAATTAAGGGTAAAAACCTGGTTGAGTAACCAGTTAAAGTACTTCTGGGAGAGAGTAAGTAAACAAATGGATTTTGTGTAAATGACCCACTTTCAGAGCTTCCCTTGGCTAGGATAGTGTGGAAAGATGGACAAGATGGGCAGGTGAAACACTCTCAGAAGAAAGATGTGACCGGATGTGTGGAAAGAGCCATTTTCCCAGCTTACCCAGAACACACTGTAGCACAGCCAGCAAAGAAAGATTCATCATGTAACTAATGACACTTAAATTTCAACTTTCTTCAGTTGCACTGGTTCTTTCCAAGACTCTCTAGTTAATTTTATATTTATAATTTTTTTCGAAGAAGGTCCCCCAGATTAAATAAATTTCAGCCAGCAGAATGTGAACCTGCCCCTGAGTGTGCCAGGCAAAGATTCTATAACAGTTTCATTGATGGACCACTCAGGTGTGGGTCAGGGATGAAAATGCTTAGAGCAGCTGCTCTTTTTGGACAGCCCACCTCTCCCTATTTTCTGTAGACAAGGCTGATTTCTATTTTGAAGCCCCTATGGAGACACACACACACACACACATCCCAGAGGATAGATGCCTGACAGACAATTGCTGCAGGGTGTGGGAACTGGAGAGTGTGTCACCATGTGCTCAGGCACATCATGCAACCCTGTCCTCTAAGGACTGGAGCTTCCATGGGTCCCTGAATTGAGTGAGGAGCACATTTCTTTCTCCAAACACCCCCAGGCCTCCTTTGCTACATGAGAACCTCCTCTTTACTAAATCACTTCCTCCAAGGGGCCAGGGATTTAGCTCAGTGGTTTCACTGCCTGCTCCACAAGTACAAGGACCCAAGTTCTATCCCCAGTTCCAAAAAAAAAAAAAAAACAACAATAAATCACTTCCTCCAAAACACCTTCTTTTTCAATTTTGTCCTCTTTCTTGTTCTTGTGCAATTTGTTTTTTGGTTTACCATTCCCATAGTATGATGTTTAACAAAGCAATGTTAATTTGTCTTTCCATGTAGCAGAAGGCCCTGATAAGCAAAGTTTTCCAAGAAAAGAGAGGACTTTACATCAGGTTCTTTTAGTGCAAACAGAAAGGGGAGAGGAGAAGCAAACATATTAAAATGGAATTACTGTTTTTATAAGGGCATATGTCATCACTTGTAACTGATCTTTATTCATCATTTCTCCAGCCACTGGAGACAAGGCTGCTGTGAGCCACCAGAGAAGGACTGTGATGAATTTAGACAGGGTGTGGGAGATTCTGCAGTGGCAGATGGAGGTTGAATATGAAGGAGTGCTTGTTTCTAGGGTTGATTCCAGGGCCAGTGAGAAGCTCGCTAAGGAAGTACTCCAAATGCTTTGTGTGGTTGGCTCAAATATAAACCAGGTTTATTTTTCGGCCTCATCTTTGGTGAGTCAATATTTGTAAAAGTGCTGCAAATATCACCTCAATCAAAATGTTATTACTGTGTTCCTGTGGTCTTGGTTTTATTGTTTGCTTATTGTTTTTCTATTGCAGGTTTACCATAAGGTCTCTTATCAGGTAGTTTTTAACCTCGTAAAAAATAGTATCTGCTTGCAAAACTGCCACACAGCCTTCCTGGTGTCCATGACTGATCAAATAAACACTGACTTCTTACTGTTTTTTTCACAGTACTGCTCCAGTCCTACAGGGTAAGAGAGCTGACACCATGGGTATTCAACTGGTGATGCACACAGGCAGGGCCTAGCCAGACTATCAGAGAGCCCATCTTAAAGGAAAACGTGTTCTTGGTGTGAATCGGGGCCAGTGCTCTGTTTGCTTGCTTTTGGTGTGCTGCTTCCCTGTTCAACTGAATCCATTTCACATTAACAGAACAAGTGACTGTATGGGGAGTCTTGCATTCTGAGACATGGTGTGTTCAGTGATGAATCCAATCTTTTGGTTAGATGAGCCTCTCTTGGCATTGTTCCTGAGGGTTGTGTTAACTGATACGAATCTAGCTGATTGCCTGCACTCCTGAGGATGTATAGCTTTCAGTTCAGGTTTGAGCGCTACAAACTCGTCCAAACAGCACTCTTGTTAATGATGTTTTAAATTCACCTCATACTACCCAGCTTAGTGAGCCCACTCCAGGAACAGAATAACTACTTTTCAGCTGATTCCACCTCTCTATATTCAGCTTGTAACTAGGATACCTCAGCAGAGAAATCCCTCCTGACTCAACTGGAAGGTGAACACCATTTCAGGCAGACTTTGAGCTTTTGATCATTATCATTTATCTTAAGAATCCACTGTTGCCTAGGTCTATATTTAATTGTCTCACATTTTTAAGCCTTTGGTAACAGCACCACTAAGTTCAACTAGTATGTTTACCATCCATGACTCATCCTACCACACTTGTAGGGCAGGTAGTTGTTGACACTGGTATTCTATAGGCCAGGAAACATATTCCCAGTGATGACATACAGAGAATCTGGGGCAGAACAGGATCAAAATTCTAGATACTCAGGCTGTTCATCACTCAAAACACTAAACACTCCTGAATTAGGTGGACTTTCAAATCATTTTACAATAAAACCATTATTCAAAGCATTGCCTTCTCTAGAAAACTTTTTTCAACCACTCTAGTCTATGTTAACTTTTTTTCTGAATTTCCTTCCTTGGCCTCCCCTGAACTCATAGTACACATTTACCTGAGTGTGATGATGGTCTTTAATCATATCTTCATCATATGGTCAGTCTTTTCCAATGGACCGTCCCTCTGGAATATTGTCTCATTAAGGATTATCTGATTTTATTCCTTTACTTCTCTTAGTGCTGCTTATTCTCAGATGGGACTGAGAATGTTCTGTCCTATGGCTACCACTAGATGTAGTGGCTGTTAACTGAGGACAATAAACTGATGTAACTGTGAACCAGGATGTGTTCGTCATCTTGACCCCAAAAGAACAAAAGTCCTGCCTCCCCGGTGGTCTCCTCTGACCCACCCAGGCAGCCACCGCCTCCTGTAGCCCTGACCAGAGTCTTGCTGGCAGATACTGTACTGTGCACTGCCCTTGAGGTCTTTTACAATGAAGCAGCTCAGTACCTAATCTTGAAATGAGCACCCACAGATTACCAGGTTGCCCTGGGGAGCTGGCAGCAAAAATAGAACTGAGTAATCCAGCTGTCTTCATGTTCAGATCATCAAGCTCAAGAATATCTGATTGTTTATAGAGAAGCTGCTCTGCCATGACATGTACATATGGGGCGCCCACTTGTCTATCTTGCAAACTCCCCATATAATCTGATTGCACAGAGCAAACCAAAACATGCATCTACTTCTTAAAATATAGTACAAATTGTTCATTGTAGAACACTTGGGAAATGAAGAAAAACATAGAAAGTCATAAAGTTATTCATTATGTCATCACCCAGAGAAAGAAACCAATCACAAAACTGTTGGCATATTTTTTCTAGTCTTTCTTTTTCTTACATAAATATTTTTCTCATATAACTGAAATTGTACAGTTCTATAACCTGTTTTTTTCACTTAATGTTAGCATTTCACTTAACATCTTTTCAAGTTATTAAAAATTCCAAAAGGATGATGTTTAAAGGCTTTATAATATTTCGCTTCCCAGCAGTACTCTGATAATTTAACTTGGCTTCTGTGTTCATTTGTCATGTTAATGTTGTTGCAGCGTACAACTGGAAAACCTGTCTCAAATCATTCCACTGAAGTCTTTTTTTAAGCAAATAGTCAAAAAGATCCTCTTTCTGCTGGAGAAAATAAAAATAATTTCTCATGACAAACCTAAACATTTTTTTATGTAAAAATGGCTAGCGCATCCAAGCCTGTTGATGCACCATTGGTATTTCCTCTGAGCTAGTCATTGGAAGGATCATAGACACTTTCCTTGCCAGCTGACAGCTTCAGATTTAAAGCACCAACCTTTTCTCCTTCTCACTCTGGGATTTCCTCCAGAATGCAAAGCCCAGGCACACTCCTGCACCAACAAAAGGAATTTGTGGGTAAATACCCCATTTCCTAGCTCCTTCCCGGCAAAGTCCTGACATGTAGGCTACTCGAAGGTTCCAGGTAGGACCAAGCCCCAGATGCCCATTTGGGTGGAAATCCCCTCTCACTGGCTCTTTTTCCTCCTGTCTAAATGTCCCCACTCCTCAGTGACACTTCCTGAGATCCACTCTGAAACAATGAGAAGGGAGGACAGTCCCAAACAATACCACTCATCTAAAATCTTACCAAAGAAAGAAAACAGAAGAGGAAAAACAATTATCTCCCAGTTGACCAATAAATTATTTACTACTAATAATTATGTGCTATATGTGGAAAAATGCAAGAGTTACATCATTACCTTCAAGACCATCTGAAGCCTTCCTCATTTTTGAGCCACCCTGATACTCTTCCAGCCCCACTGAAAATACTTAGCATAAGTTTGAGTAAAAGCAGAATACCAGCCCTCATTTTTTTAGTGGTCATTGTTTAGAACACACACATTGTTTGGCTTAGAGCTACTCAGAAATAGTCTTGTCACTGCTGTGGTTGATCTGTGAAGAATCTGGAGACATAGTCATTTGAAATGTCAGCAGATTTAAATACACTAAAGTGTCTGCTAAATCCAGCCGGTAGGTTAATAGTCTTTGTTTATACAGTTGTGGCTTGATATAAACCTGCAGCCATGGTGAAGTACCACATAAATAACTTCCTGAGGAGTGCTTGAGGCTAATTCATGAAGCAATTCTTGTTTTAAATAAATTAGGGAGTCAACTCTGAAATCTCAAACTGTTTACAAAAAAAAATTAAGACTCCTCTTTCTGTATAAAATAATACAAACCTTTAGCACACTTCTGGAACATTCTCTTATAAGAAGGATTTTATATTCCTATGATTAAAGAGTGTATAGTCTTTCCTTGTTCTTTATTTAGACCACATTTCTCACAGTAGTATACATTTTTCTTCTGTTTCTTTTTTAGTTTTTATTTCTTTGCTTGGCATTTAGAAATAGATTAAAATATTCAGAGGCTAAATTATGGTATATTTCTCACTCCCGACTAATATATAATTGAACATCAATACAATTCTAACTTACAAAATGAATATAGTCAGCCCTCCATAACCATGTTTTCTGTATCTGTGGATTCAACCAACCATGGATTGAAAATATTTTTATGTTTCTCTAGTAACTATGTTTCCTTGTCACTATTCCCTAGGCAATATAGCATAATAGCTATTTTGTGGATTTTATATTGATTATATATTGTAAGCAATTTAGAGATGGTTAAACTATACAGGAAGATGTATGTAGGTTATACACAAATACTATGCCATTATATGTAAGATTCCTGAGCAACATTGGATGTTGGTATCTTGGGTGAAGGTGAGGGTCCTGGAAATATCAAATATATTTCAAAAATATCTCTTGTCTTTTCTGTTACCCTAAGCCTGGGCTGAATTTTCTCTTTTAGTAATCCCAGCTGTGACTCATCTGAGATTATAGATCAGTTTCTAACACAGAATTATGAATGGAAAAGGTAACTGAAGTTATAAGTCACATATTCAGTTACATCCCATATTTATACTAAGAGCCAAAGAATCAAATGCTGCCTCAAATATTGCCTCTGGATCGCATTCACACAGGTAGAAAACTGATTTTATAGGACAGAGGGATGTCTTATTAGGAATGGTTATTGTGATCAAATGAGGGCATTGCTAGTGAAGATCAGATTAATCTACATGTCACCAAATAAGTGTCCTAGCAGTTTCTCTCCTAGCTTCTGAAAACACATCAACCTTAAAATAGCCAGCAGAAAAGTCTGGCAGTTACAGCAAATTTATCAACACTCATGCTGGGCTTGTTTGCCAAAACCCTCAGCTGGGCTTGATGTCCGGAAGATGAATGGTAGCAGACTGTCTAAGAAGCCATTCCAGTTGACTAAAGTAAAGTACCAATTCTTAGGGCTCTTCAGCTGACAAGGAGAGAAACCCAGCTTACACTGGCTCAAGGAAAAAAAGGGGATGAAGATTATGTATCATGTACCTGGAAAGCCCAAGGTCTTCAGGGAAATCCAGGGAACTTCAGGCAAGGCTGTATCAATGCTCCAACAACACAATCTAACCAATGTTCCTTTCTCTCTTTCCTTTCCTCCCTATACTCTTGGTGCTGGAGACTCATTCTACAGACTGGAGCCTCTTCGTCACAGCTCTGGGAAGATGTAGGGCTATTTATTTGGGCTCAACTTGTACTACTGACCCATCCCTTTGTCCTTGGCTTTTGGCCTGGGAATTATGGCCTCGATCTGGAGATAGTGCTGCCACATACATATGACTTAGGAATTGCTGAAACGTGGTTTCCCAAGAGACATTAGGGAAGCAAGGAAAAACGTCCACTGTTACATCATATCTTTCATTTAAATCAGTGGTTGGTTGAAGACAGCAACTGTGCCATGCATCTTCAAGCTCAAAGCAGCTAGTGTGGATCCTCATCTCTAACAGGTGCTTTTCTCCACTTGTTGATCCATTGCTTGATTTCTGTAGAATCCTTAAAAGCCAGGTGGTTTCTTCTCAACAAAGGCCATGCAGTGGCCATCTGTGGAGTGAAGAGAAAGAATCTCACCAAAGGGGAGAGCTTATACACACAGTTATCTGTAGACACAGATTATCTGGCTATTTTAGAAAGCAGTTTAACTTCAAACATAAAGCCCAAAGCATATGGGCTGAAAGAACTGACTTCATGTAGTTCTAGATACCTGACAACCTAAAACAGTTATGGTGAAACTTTGGAGTTTTCAATGATACAAATACCCTGCTGCAGCATGCGTGCCATAGGTTCACCACCATTGGCCTAAATACTTTTTGAGTGGTAAACCAGTGGCTGGTCCTATCGTGGGGAGTGGGTAGCTACTTATACAGTATTTTGACAACTCTTACAAGCCTTTTAAGTTTCTAATTTCTCCCTAGCCCATCAACCAAAGTCTGTGTGGTGCAGTATAGGAAAAAAAATCACTAGAATGAGTTCAGGTGACAACTCTATCACTAAGATGTGATTTTGTACAAACTTCCATCTCTCTATCATTTGCCTCATTTATAAAGCAAATAGTTCAAGTTCTAGCACTCTAAAATCCATGATCTTTGAAAATAATCCTGATTTCTAGAGCCCAAACAAATAAAATAAGAGTTTTGGGGATGGCATCCAGTTATCGATACATCTTTTAAATTTCCCTAAGTGATTCTGGTGTGCAGCCAAGGTCAGAATCACCATTCTATTCCATTCCACAATCTTCTAGAAGGGAAAGCTGAATTGCAGACATGGCAGAGCATATTTCCCAAAGGTCTCCATCCACAATCAGTGTGGTCTTGCAGAGAGCAGCATTTGACGTAAACATTTCACTCACAGCAGTAGAAATTATTTTGTCTTACTGATGCTCCTAGTGCCATCTGGCACTCAGATTATTCCAGGGAAAGCTTCCAGAATTAAGGCATTATTATTTTGGTACTGAATTCTTAATATAAATTATTTACCTGAAACCATTTCAGCCAAAAGATATTTTTCACTATTAAGAGAATAGAAGACTTCAAGATATACTACATTTTGCATAATGATCTAGGATATGAAAGTCACCTAACTGACAGTTTAATCATTTCCATCTTCTTATATAATAAAACATATTTTTGTTCAATTACATGAATCATCAAATTTGCTCTAACATCAGAATGCGCTGAGAAGCAGGAGGAAATATATCCTCAGCAATTAGCTGCTTTTGAAAAGATCATAATCAGTTGAACTTTCTATGGCTCAATAATACTAACTAGCATTTATGTCACTTTCAATGATAGGTTGGTCCGTTTCATTGAACCTTTTCTCCTGGGGAAAATTGCTATACGATTTCATGATTCACATCCATACCTCCTGCCACATAATCACATGTTCCATGCAAGCCTGCCTCCTACGGAAAACGGCTGCTTTTCACCTTTGTTATTTGTTCTTTCTTGACTTTGCTTTATGAGCTCTAATGCCCTTTCAAAGTAGCAAGACAGAAATAACCTATCTTGTAGTTTCAGAAAGTTACCTTGTCTTCATGACACTCTATTCATTTACAGGCTTCCAAAAATATACCTAACACAATTCAACACATTATATAAATAAAGTTAATGAAAAATTGAACCCTCTTTGTTCCTTTTTTTCCTAAGCATTAAAACAAGGAAACATTGTGATTATATAAAAATATATTCTTCTTGAATAAGCAAAGTTGACACCATTGGTTTTCTTCAGAGAGGCTCAGACTTGTGAGAAGTATTTTCCTCTCTGAGTAGAGAAGTTCCTGAGTGTAAAGGGAGTCTTGTGCCTATTTTACATGGCTTCAAACCCAGTATTTCTTACACTTCGTGGTGGATTGCATTTCTATAGGGATGCTCAAAATCAACACCTTCTGCAAAACTATTCCTACAGTGATTTTGTATAGTAATTGGGATTTTTGGCTTCCCTTAATTAATCACATTGTCTCATAATACAGGATTTCCATTTCCACCTGGCAACACTTGCTTGGTGTTAAGTACATGTTACTGCTTTTAGAAGAATCTTGGCCATCATCGTTTCTGCCATTCCTACCTCATTTACTTCAGTTATGGGATTTTTCTCTGGAACCTTATGCTTGGGAAATTTTCTATGTGCAGGTTTCTTGAAATCTTCTAGGATTTTTAAGGAGCTTGTATTAGTCAGAGCTTTTTGGAGAAATGGAAGCAATAGGAGATATAAAAAGATATTGCCAGGCATGGTGGTGCACACCTGTAATCCCAGCACTTGGGAGGCTGAGGCAGGAGGATCTCCATGAGTTTGAAACCAGCCTAGGCTACATAGTGAGTTGTCTCAAAAAAAAAAAAAGATATAAGGAGATATATACAGAGAGAGTGAGAATCTGGCAAAAAAAAGGTATACATCAGGAAAAGAAAAACTTGTATAAATATTTTAATACTAAATTTATTGAGACATCA